ACAGAGAGTCCCTGATGGAGCAGGAGGAAAGTGGGGTGCAGAACTCAAATTCTAGTAAGAAGACCAGACTTAATGGTCTGAGACTGGAGAAATGCCAGAAAGCATGGCTCCCAGACACTCTGTCAACCCAGAACTAAAACCATTCCCAAGGCCAACTCTTCAGACAAAGATTAGACTGGACTACGGGACATAAAATGATACTTGTCCTTTCATGAGACTAAATGGGCAGCTCCTGTCTGGAGGTGAGATGAGAAGGCAGAGAGGGTTAGGAGCTGGTTGAATGGACTTCGGAAATTAGGGGTGGAAAGGAAGAGGGTGCTGTCACATTATAGGGAGAGCAATTGGGGTCACATAACAATGTATGTATAAATTTTTGTACAAGAGACTAACTTGAATTGTAAACTTTCACTTAAAGTACAATTAAAAAAAATTGAAGCAGGGAAAAAAAAAAAAAGAATGGCCCGCAGGTTCTGGCTCAGCCCACCCAAGAGTAGAGTTTCCAGAGTGAAGAAGAGGGGTCTCAGGCTAGAAGAGAGGAGTCCAGAGTCCCCAGCGTGCACCGGGGACCGAAGCTGTGGAGTGTGGGGAGCTCGCTGGGAAGCCTGGGTGAGAGGACAAGGACACAAGCTCCTCTAGGGTGGACACTGGAGCCTTTGCTCAGGGGCACATGTGAAGCGTGTGCTGAGTGCACAGATGGCTGCCTCCCTCACAAACTCGGGAGGGGAGCTAACCGCAGCAGCGGAGGCGGCGGGAGTCCACTGGGCCTGGAAATTCAACTAAGAACAAACGCCCTTCTTCCACTTGCCCCATAAAGCCTCACTCTGACTAGGGGATTGTGGAGGAATCTGAGGTAACAGGATTTGAGGTTAGCTCAGAGCCTGCAAGGAGGACAAGGAAGGGTCCACCTGTGGGATGCTAGTCACCCACCCAGGGATAACTGGCCCTCTCCAGGGGCTCTGGGCCTGCCCTGAGGCGGCATCGGTGAGGCTGGCACCCCAGGAGCCACGACCACAGCCAGGGAGCACCACTGCTGGTCACACCCGGCTCAGCGCAATGGCCACGCTGTCCACACACTACGAGCAGGCACTGTGTCAGGGGCCCTGGTCTTGAAGGGCTGCCATCCCAGGCTGGGAAGAGGGAGCGGAGATGCACAATAAAGCATAATAAATTTGTACATCATGTAGTACGTTAAAGGGTAGTTCGTGCTGCGAAAAAATACGTAGGCTAGGGCAACAGGATCCAGAATTGGAGATAATATCTCTAAGTCATTCCAGTGAACACCCACCGCGAGGCCTCAGACTGCCAGTGTGTTCTCTCTGAGGGTCTGTGAGGGGCCTCTGCCGCCCCAGGAGCCCTCTGGCTCGCATCCACCAGGGGCCATCACTCGACTGCTGTGGCTTTTTCAAGCATGTCTGGCCTACAGAGAACAGTCAGGCGTGTGCATGCAGTGACATGGCGCTTCCTTCAGAGGCGTGGGGCTCCAGGCCATCCCACAGATCTGCCTCCCTCCCCACAAGGCCAGCAGATGGTACAGGCATTGCCATGA